GCGGCACCATCTGGACATGACAGCGAGGCAGAGTCACTGTAGTGAGTCGCACGCTGGCCCTTGCGGCTTCACCCTGGCATTGACACGTGGCTCTGCTCACATTGCCTTAGCTATAGTAAGCACTGGCCGCCTCCGACTTGGTCAGGACGTATGTGCCCTGACGGGTGCCCCTCCAACTGGGGAATAGAATTCATGCTACGTACAACTCCTCTCCAGGACCCTGGGCTCTGTTTGTCTTTAGGTTTGGTTGGCTGGACAGATCTATCTCATGTGATGATAGTTTTTAGTACGTATTTCTGATATTCTCATTTTAATGTATGAGTTAGTAAAATGTTGACTAGAAGCAGTGATGCTGGGTGTCAGTGTTATATTCATGACTTCAATACAACTGCTAAATTAACATTAAGACTTTTATTATTTTATTATTATTCATGATGTTGAAGTTCTGTGAAAATGACCTATGCCAAGTTTTAGAAGTTTCCTTCTGTTTTTAGTTTATTAAGGGCCTTGGCCCTAAATATATAATGCATTATTGGGATCTTACAAATAAGTCACATGATTCCTTTCCTTTAAGTCTACATTTAAAGTGTATTGTATCATGTTTTAATTTCAAATGAATTTTGCATTCTGGATAAACTGAACTTGGTCAGGAGAATTCTTATATATGTAGATATTTCTGGATTCAGTTTGCTTATGTTCTATCCAGAATTTTTTGTATTTCTGTAGGGGCTCTATAATATTTCTCTTCCATATCCTCCCGCCTTTATGTGAGTATGTTTATATTTATATCTAGCTATCCATTCATTTTTTTTCTACTAGCCGCATAAAATAAGTTGGAAAAGTTTCTCTTCCATTTGTGAGAGTGTCAAAACTTAGAATCTATTTTCTCAGATATGTGGTGTAACTAATTTATACAATTTGGTGAGCACATTGTTTCTGTGGGCAAATTTAAGGCAGACCACTTAATAATAGAACCATGCATATTTAAATACTTCTCTTTAGTTTTATAAAAGCTTATTATTTTTTTCTTTTTACTGGGGCATCATTTGCACAGAGTACATGGGTTTCAAGGCAGTGTTCCCTTGCTCCCTGTTTCTTTCCCCAATGTATCCACCTGTATAGCCAGCACTAGTAGCAGGATACAGAAATTCCCAGCACTCCTGCCCGCTGCCGAGAACCCATCCCCAGCCAATCTGTTGTACAGGGAGCACTGTTCTGATTCTCTTTACATACATTAAGTTTGCCTGTGCTTGAACGTGATAGAACTGGAACTGTGCAATTGGTTATTGTTGTCTGGCTTCTTTCATTCACTTCCAGAGATTTATCTGTGTTGTTACTTATAGCAGTAATTCATTTTTCTTTCATGGTGTCATCTCATTCCATTGTATGAGTATACTATATATGTGTGTGTGTGTGTGTGTGTGTGTGTGTATGAGTATTATATATATATAAATATATATATACACACACACACACATATATAGATCCACACACACACACACACATATATATATATATACACACACACACACACACACACATATATATATATATATGTTCTCCAGTCGATTGACATTTGGGTTGTTTCCAACTCTTGTTCCTGGATCAGTTAGGATTGGAAATAATTTTAGGAATTTTTCCCATTTGTCTACAAATTCCAATTTAGTGCTCATATAAAAACTGATATCTTCTTATATTTGTAATCATATTACATCTGAGTTTATGCCTTTATTTTCATATGTAATATTATATGAACACTTACTGTCTTGATCAGTTATGACAGAAGTTACTCAAATTGAATGGTAATTTCATAGATGCTAAAACCCCAAGATTAAGGGATATTTTTTGATTTTGTCCATCAACAGGAGCTAAGCTTCAAGTACTTGAAAAAATAAGCTTATTATAGTAAACGTTTCCAGAATGAGCAGGAATGGGCTTACATTGTAGTTATCTAACTAAAACACCATTTCTTTGACTTCAAGTCAAGGAAATTCTGATTCAAATGGGTATGGTATCTTTAGCACAAGAACCATAAATTGCTTGCAATTGCTTGTAGTGTGACTTTGCATGCCTCCATTCAGGAGGGAATTCTGTTTCACAGTACTTGAAGCTGGACTTAGTCACCTGACAGTCTCTGACCAATGGCCATTAAGCAGACATGATAAAAGCACACAGAAAGATCTGCACACAGTAAGGTCTCCCCCAGGTCTGCTGCTAGTAACCAGCTTCTAGGTGAATGCCTGTGACTGTCAAGACAGCTGCTAGATCAGAGTGAAGCTCATTTCAACCTTCCTGCCCCAGCTAAGCTGGTCCCAAACTGAAATACATGTAATATATGACAATAATAGAGCACATCACTGCAGAGGAGCATCCGAACTTTCCTCCTGAGCACTTTGACGTCTTTCCCATATTTGCTTCTCTAGGACATGGTGGTAGAAGGAGGGCTCCTGATGCATTTACCAGATGTCCACAAGGATGGGAAGTGGTGGGTCTCTCTCAGCCCGTGGTCTGCTTTTGCACATCACTGGCAGTTTCAGAAGGTGGAACAGAGTTGTTAATCTTGATTGTTCTGTCTTTTCTGGAGTGGTGGCCCAAAAGATACATGGATGCACCATGATTCAAAATTAAAGTTAATCCCTGTATTCACAGGAATGAGAAGTCAGCCACTAAAGAACAGTTTCCCTTGCATGTTTGCTAACAGAGTGAAATAATCCAGTATTGAACTCTCAGTGAACTGTCTGTCTTCTCAATTATACTTTCCCAGGTTCTTGAGAATTTTTGTATATTATCTATTTCTACATTAAGATGTCTTTTTTAATATAAAGTATCCCTGGTATGATTGAAGTAATCAAGATTTTCTTTGAAAAAAGGTCAAGAAAATCCCCCAATAGCACCCAGGCCTAATTGATAAAGTTAACACATAAAAGGGTAGTGGGCCCCAGGTCGCTCTTGGGAGAGAAATGAAATGAGAAAGAAAACAATTCGGGTTTGTCTGGCTGTCTGATTACCAGGAAACACTTTGCAAACATGGCTTTTATTTCTGAACCTTTCTCAAAGTCTGATAACTTATAGGAGGAAAAAAAAAAAATCACACTGGTCTAGTTGTATCCCAACCAAGTTTTTCACTTTTAAGATAAAAACGAGAAGATAGAAGTAGTAACCACTTCACACTATTTCTCATCTAGGATTAAACATCTCAGATGGTAGGAAAAAAGGGTATTTGGGATGTAATAAAACTATGTAGAATTGGTACCAAACAGGCCTCCATAAGCACACACATTTGTCCAATTAAGCAGCTGAAACATCAGCAGTCCTGCAGCTTCTGTAAGTTTAATGAAACTCCACGATCGTCCCACAGCTACTCTAAGATCCCATCAGAAGCTGTTCAGTATCTAGAGAGACATGTGCGTTGAGCAGAGTGTATCCTGCATTAAAGAATGCAGTAGAAACTGCTTAGCCAATGAAACTTCCATCTGTGGACCAAGTTTCCACATTATCAGTCTATTCATACCCCAGAAAGGAGAGAGAAACTTGGAAATCACTCTTTCTGCCCCATAACGGCAGGTCTCTTTTGATGACAAAATTAGCGGACTGGGCTCTCCCTGGTGGTGCAGCGGGTTAAAGCACAGCACTGAGAAGCTAAAGCCACTTCCGCATGAGTTCGATCTCTGCTTGCCCTGGAGGAGATCCACGTGGCGTGGCAGACCTCTCCTGACCCGCCCACTGCTCCCCTCAGCAATGTACTTTGGCGATCTGCCTGTTCTCCCCATTCTGTCTCCGGTGAATCCTCTCCCCGCCCCTGAACCTCTGGTCTGTACCCCAGTACTGTATGAACAAATAAATAAATCTTTAAAAAAAATAGGGGACCGAGGTGCATGAAGGGGGCTAAGGGAGGGGCCAGATAGGATTACCTAAGCAGGCTTGCTGTGCTGCTACTTTAAAATTCTGCAGGCCTGGCTCCGCCCCCTCTCTCCTGCTGCCTGGAGCACCTGCTGCAAGTGAGCTTGGAGCTCTAGTGCTCACTTCCAGGCTGACCCCCAAGCTGGCTGCGCTGAGTTTCAGGTAACCAAAAGTTTGCTGTGCAGAATCCCTGGCCTGGGTAGCCAGATCTCCTTTGCCACCTTCCTGCTGCTGTGCCCTGTGTGCTAAGAGTTACGGGGGTTACTGCAGGGTTGCCAGGCAACAAGGGACAGCAGTCCAGGAAGAGCCATTTGTCACACTGAGGGGACTGGCTGCAATGCAATAAAGAAATGGTAGCTCCCCTTATTTCTCAGTACAGTTACTTATATAGTATTAGGGGTGCATCTCTAACCCACAAAGATGTGGCCTTAGGAGGTGCACTGACACAAACCTTTGCTAAATACACCAAAGCTAAGGTGTAGGTGGGGCAGATGGCAGTGGGCTGCTAATCAGCTTTCCTGGGAGCTTAAGATTGCTGCCTGCCTAGCGATGGGGGGAAGGCCCCATGAGTTCCGCAGGCTTCCCTGGGACACCTGCCGGTTAGCTCTGCAGTGCGTATTGCCAGGAAACTTACTCCCTTCTCCACCTTGTAAAGCAGAGCCAAATGCTTCTTCCCTGGGGTGGGGGACTCGTCAGAGAAAGCCAGCAATAAAAATGTGTAGGAGATGCAGGTATCCACCCCAGAACCCTGTGGGCTTTTAAAGTGCTTGATGTGCCCAATAAAGCGAAGGTATTTACCAGGAATATCAGATTGCACTTCAAACTGTTTCTGAGTTGTTTCTGCTCCAGGGCCCAGAAGCCTCATGTTTAGGTTGAACTTACGCTTTTCCTTGACACTGTTTTTGCTTCCCAGACACCAGTGCTGCCCATGTCTTTGTCACCACTGCGAAAGCCTTCATTCTCCCCTCGGTGTGAAAACGTGCCTTTAGTTTCCCGAAAATGGAGCATCTCCACGTCCCTTAAAGCAGCCTGCTTTCAAGTTTTGCTGGCAAGCGCCGTGGGCCTTATTACTTATTTAGGGCCACCGGACTGGGAAGAGAATGCTTTTCTGTAAACATGAATCACCTGCCTCTTGTTCTGGCTTGGGTTTCTGGTTGTGCCTCACTGAAGCATTGCTCTTCACCTATTTTGCTTCCCCGTGGCCCGCTGACAGGCAGGGCCTTTTCCCAAGGCTGGAGAATGTGGGCGTGTTCAAGAATATTTCTGTTGTGCCAAGCCAGGCAACCTGTGGGCTCCTGACCAGAAGCATGCTCTGTGATGACTCTGCTGCTGTGGACAGTAACTGGCTCTGCACCCAGAGGGTTTGCCTTCAGGACTGTCCAGTCAGGCCCTCACCCCCTACCTCTGCTGCCCCCTTCTGCCTGGGCCTTGGGAGCTGCCTGTCTGCACGTGAGCACGACCTACCTCCCAGTCTTCGTCGCCGCTCTACCAGTTTTATTTTTGGAAATCATAAGAATTGCTTTTCTTCTCCATCTCCAAGGCTGGCGGCATCACTGGCTCTGGCCACGTGGTTGAAATCTGAGGAAGGAGGTGTAATGTAAGTAGTGGTGCTGGTATAAGCTTTCCCAGGGGCCTGAGAAGTCAGTAGCTCTGAAGTTGACAGCAGCTTGAACTCCAGGCCAGTAAAGAAGGTGAACCCTGTGGAAGTCATGCTTGAGGGCTGGCCCTAGATGCCCTTCCCTACTCAAGTTACATTGTTCCAGGCGTATATTCCTGAGTTAATTTTTTTTCCCCTCTTTTCCATGGAGATAGTGAGTCCTCAAAAAAAGGTCATATGTTGACATGCATTCATTTACTCCCCAATAATGAAGCTAAATCTCTACACTATCTTGAGCTTTGGGGTATGAGGATGAGTACAAGTTTCCCCTCTACATACTACCACATAGCATTACTGCCAGATAGACGTTAGAATTGGTTTTTTGTTAACCAAAGAAATCCAAAAAGGTTGGGCGGTGGCTGTTTCACTTCCATAGCAGGTGAAAGTGACAAGAGCATCAGTGTTAGTTTTGTAGAAGCTGCTCTAGAGACAGTGGAGCCCGCGCAGCCAGACTGGCCCTCCAAGGTCTGTTCCCAGAACTACTTTATATAGGTAGTTTCCTGCTTTTAACCAGATCTTAGTGTTGGTTTAGGTTTTACGGGCTATTTGGTATGACTTGGCAGGTCATGGGGGTGGGGGGTGCTCTGGATATATTCACAGAAAACTTTTTGCATTATGATTTTATGGCATTTTGACGATGAAACATTTCAGAACACTCTGCTTTTGCATATTAGGGAAACCTGTAATGTGAATCATTGATACTTTTGGTCTTGGTCTAGGTTCATAGAAACAACCAGTCTTTATAACAGTGTAGGCAGACCACTTCCTGAGGGCTTAGGGCTGTCCTTTATACGTCCTTACCTTCCCAGGAAGAGATGTGTATTTATTTGATGTATGGAGGATGTTAATACTGTGGGTCAAATTTTTGAATAAAACTCCCTCTTGGAAAAGTCAACTTTTATCTTGTGATGTTTGCCTCTTCCAGGTGGTAGGGAATGTTTAGTAAGTGTGAGGTTCTCAAAAGCTTGCCTGCCACCTGGCCCCAGGGGCACGGCTTTGGCCAGTGTGGAGTTGCACTTCCTGAACATCCTTTCTTTAGTTTACAGCCATCTGCTTCCCGTTCTGTAATAGTGTGTTTCCCCTTAGTGTTGAGACTCAGTCTGAAAATTATAGGAAAATTTAATTTGATGCATTTTACTTATTTTCTTTTTGCGGCACTCCTCTTACCTTGCAATATATTCTTTGTGTGAGAGTGTTAACCGACTATCTAAAAATGTGTGAAACAAACCAGAAAGGTCTTTGCTTATATGCAAATATCACTTACATGTCTTCGGTGTTTAGCTTTCATTTGCCCAATGAAAGTACTTTTATTTTGTTTTTCCTTTTTTTTTTTTTTTGGAAAGAAATCACAAGCTATTGCCCTTATTACTGTAGCTCCCCCCCCCCCAAAAAAAATCCTGTTTTCTTACTGTTTGAAATGTCAGTAAATGTCGTCTACTCAGTTTATGTAATTGATGTCCCAAAAATCATGAAAAAATTATCTTGAAAAATAGCTCAGATAAAATATTTTTTCCCAAACTTTTCTCAATGAATGAGTATGTCTCTACTAGATTTGTTTTCTCTTGATATTATTTGGTATAAATAAGATAGAGATATATTCATAGAGGCAGTAGCACATTGTGTGTGGTCTTGAGAGTTCCATGTATCAAGGTCATTTCCATTCTCAAAAACTAAAAGGCCTATGGGAATTGGGGGAATTTCGGGGTGTTTGCACTAGATAAGTAAAACAAACAAAACACGGATTATCCAATTATTGTTTATCCAGGAGCAGAATAAATCCAGTTCCTAAATATTTTGCTACCTGACTGCCTCTCACATTCATTATCTACCAAAGCTAGTATGTTTACAAGCAAACAAAATAGCAAGGAAGATAATCAATAACATATTAAGAAATGCATTTTCAGTAAGCTTGGGGAAATAAGCCTGCATTTAGTAAATACATTCTTGAGTAATGGTCAAATTCTAACTTGTAGATTTAAACTCAAGAAAAACTAATAGAAGCAGACTATTCGTAGATGTTTTGAGACCCAGGGGTAAGGGATAAAGACAAACTCTTTCCTTCCAGTGGCTTAGAGATACCCACCTACTAAAGAGTTAAATAAAATCACAGTTGGGTTTCCATAAGTCTCTATTTCTACCGTTCATAGAACCTTTATATCATATCAATTATGCCTATTTCCCAAAATTAAAAATATACTTGCCCTCAGAACTTTGTTACCAAATATACATATAAAATACAGTAAGGCAGTGGCAGTAAAACAGGGACTGTTGAGGATTGTTCTCCAGTTCTGTTTATACCTCTCACCTCTGGGAAAGAGTCAATGCAAGTGAATGGGAGTAATTTCTGGAAAATGTGCCTAGTATGAAAAGATGCAAAACATCACGAGCAGCGATTCTTGGTTGGCCCAGGCTTCCTTTTGCTCTCTGATGCTTCCTACTCAACTTGACCCCAACCCCTCATTTTTGAGGGTTTGCTGTTGATCAAGCTCACTTCTGTCCTCACGATCTGTTGGGAAGTGGCTGCTGTCATGACTGAGGCAGCACTGGCCTGACGCAAGACCTAGACATTTTCCAAAAATCTCTTGAAGCTGTGACTGTTAACTGCACTGCATTCTTACGGGGCGGGAAGGCTTTTCATGCAGGAGCATCAGCACTGCATCGGTGCTTCATTTGGGTTTTGAGGCCATTGAGAGCCTCTAGTCATTACACAGACATCAACTAGCTTCTGGCCACTCACGATGAAGTAAAGATAATAGTCTATTCTCCATTCCATCAGCAGAATTAAATAGAGTGATTCTGACACCAGGACTAGCTAGCTGTTTGGAGCCATCTAAGAACACTAAATTCTCCTTCCGTTAAAAACAAACAAACAAACAAACAAACGGTGGTGATGATTTGGACAATGCAGTATCCAGTGGTTTGTGCCATATCATAGAAAAGGATCCCTGATGAGTTAATGTGCCAGTGGGCGAAGGGTTAGCTTTGTAGGATGATTCAACTACTTTAGTTCCTGTCACCACACTCTAAGAAAGGATGCAGAGGTGCTGGGGAATATCTTGTAAATAATAACTTTATTTTATTAAAATCAAACTCTATACCAAACCTAGTTCTGAGTGCGATGACATTTGGGTGCTTATTCATAGTGCCCCCTTTTGAATGGAGTTTGGGGGTGTTTTCACGCCACTGTCACTGCACAGTGCCTGAGCTGCTGTTTGGGTTGGATGCTGACCTTTTCTCTTTTCTGGTTGCTTCCTAAGGTGTGTCACAGAACAGACAGTGGATGAGCAGACCGTGTTCAAACTCACAGTATCTGAGAAAGAGACCATGTTTTATTATCACACGGTAGATAGTTTGCAGCCTCCAATAAAAGTAATGACACTGGGGAGAATTCTTGTGAAGAGATGGATTCGTCTCTTTGTGCAGGTGAGTAAAATAAAAAAGTACTTAACATTTGTTTAAACACAGGATCCCTCTCCCTTTATTTCCTTTGCATGGTGTCTTCCCAAGAAAATTGAAAGCAATATAATAGAGATTTCCAGGATGTGTAAGTGACAACAATTTAAAAAAAAGTTAAATTATCTCATGATGTTTATCTTGATAATGCAGCATTTCCTTCCTTCTCTGAAGCTGTTTGTAAAAGCTCTCACAAAATCTTTGGACACTGCTTCCTGGAGTAAAATTCTCTGGAAATTTTTGTTTTATTTGATTAATGTATTTTATTTTCTTCAAAAATATGTGGGGCTCTTCTAGTATCTAGTAGTAATTTTACTCATCATGGCAGCATTAAAATTACTGCCTTTTTTTTTTTTAAACACCCGTCGTTGTCAAAAAGCATCTGAAGATGAGAATAAAATTTGGCTGTTGCATTAAGATACTGACCTTAAAACTACTGAACTTGACACTTGAGATACTCAGAAGGTGTTATATTATTACTTTAGTTGTCAACAGCAGTTTGCATTGACCTTAGAAGCTGCTAAAGGCTGAGATAACTGTGAGATGTCTGGTATTTTACTGTCCTTAGGATAGAGACATAGCCTAGTCTTTTGTTTCTGCACGGTTCCAAAAATCTCCCTTGCCTTTCAAAGCAGGCCTCTGGAGTACCCACTTTCCAGTATATGTTCCCATAGGGCCATCTAGACAGGGGTCAACCCAGACCCCTTAGAGGGTTTCCACTTAGAGGACATGAGCACCTCAGTCATCATGACAGTCATTTTTGAGTTCTCACATGTTTTCCCACCCTGAAGCAGGGAATGAGGTGAACTCCTTACAGGGTTTTAGGGATTGCTGTTTGGTTTTAAAGGTTGTTTCAGCATAGACTCTGTTCTTGAGACTATCAATACACTTTGTACATATCTTCATTTTCCCATACTATAACTAAAATCCTGCCATGTTATTTGCAGAGCAGTGCTTTAAAAGTCACAGCAAGAAAATTGTAACTATAAACGCAAAGAGGTAGCCACGAATGAGTTCTGTGGGGAGGTATTAGCTAAGTAATACTGAATCAGCTGTGCCTTACCTACTCAGAATTTGTTGGCATGTGAGTTAGCCAAGCGGTTGGCAGGGAGCAGCATGGCCATGCCACCAGGGTAGAAAGGCCCTCCAAGAGCATGGTCTTGTCTGGTGCTGACTACAGCACAAGATAGCTTCAGTGCATCAGTGCTCACTGCTGTTTGGTGGTTAGCAGACAGGTGGTCCTCAGGCTGCCAGTTCCACCCACTGACCGGTACAGGGGGGTCTGGTTACAATGTGAAATATGGAAAAACAGAAACTGCGAAAGCCAGGGAGTCTGCAGAAAAGGCTAACCAGATATATATGTTGCATATTTTTGTATCAATCATGATAAAAACATTCTTTTCACTGGCCTTTCTTTTGCCTCATCTGGGAAACTGCCATGTTTTAGCAGACAGTAGTAAGTTAAAAGCTTTTAGGTAGAAAGTTTAAAATCTAAATGTGAAGACTTAACCGTGACTGAATTACTCTCCTGGGAATAAAATGCTCTTAGTGTGCCTATTGAAATCAACATTATCATTTCAATACTTGTCAAATATGAGTCATTTCCGGGTTTAAGCAAAAATTCTTTGTACATCTTTAAATCTTCCCTTTCTTTCAAGAAAAGGTTACTGTAGTTATGATTTAATGAGACTGCTTCATTTCTGTTGCCTAGAAAGAGAAAACTTGTCCTTTCCAATTTATGTACTTTATTTTTACATAATGTTATTATGATTTTTTTTTGGGGGGGGAGTGCAGCTAGCCTACATTTTCCATTAAAATCACAGAATTAAACAGTGACATGACTTTCAAAATATCTTTCATATTGGTCGTTTTTATGGCGTTTTTTAAATTGTTTCAGGGGGCTGGAGTTATGAGGTGCTGGTTCGTGCAAATGAAAATTCTCAAGCTATTTTTGACTTTCAATTGGAGATCTATTAAGGGTTCCTTTACATTGGACACTGGCTTATAAGATCTAAGATCTATTCTGAAAATTGGTAATAGTTCCTGTTACAGAGGTCCAATAGGGAATGTGTTCATTTCTGAAAGTTGTTGCAAAGCAGTGAGGACAAGCGATTCCAAGGAGGGAAATCTGTTTCAGAGCATGCTACCCTGTAAGCCAACAAATTCACTTACTTGGCTTCCTAATATTACATAGGATTTTTGTAATTTAGCAGAGGGACAAAATCATGTGTCCTTGACTTCTGCATAAAAATGTGAGTGTAGAGTGAGGCGCCTTTAAAGCATGGTGAGCTGGGGAGATGTGCGGGGACATGCAGGTTGTGACAGAGCTGCTGTGGGTCAAGATGAGGCTTTCACTTTTTTCCTGCTTGGTATTAAGCAGGCAAATTCCATTTGGGTAGATTTTATAGGCAAATTTTGGACTAGTGCAATTTGCAACTCTTTCACTGCAAAGAAAATATTTAATTATGACATCTAATTTACATAGCGTTTATTGGTAGATACTGCATCCACATTCTGTTGGATTTTAGGATTAGGTATTTCTACTATGCTCGACATAAGACAGAACATATACTTCATAATCTGCTTAGTCAGTTTTCAAATTGCAAGTCTGCAATTAAAGTATGTGTGTTTTCACTCAGTTCAGTATGGTTACAATCAGTATATATATACATGCCATACATATAGATGTGAACATGTATGTACCATATGTAAAACACATGCCTTTATTCATGGGATTGGCTCAGAAAGCAACTTAACTTAGAAAGGCCTAGTGAAGTAAAATGAACAGATATATAATTATGCCTTACCTCAGACAGTTGACTCAGTATCAGCTTCCCATCAGTAAAATCAAAATTATAATTTCAAAATTCTAAATTCAGAAAAAAGAAATGAGTTTTAAATAATTAAATCCCTTGGCAAAAATGATGCTGTGAAGAAGCAGGCATGCTGAATATTGGAAGTCTGGTTTCTTAAACAAAAAAAAAATACCCAATATTATAGTGATGGATCTAATAGTTTTTATTCAAGAACTAGCATTTTGAAGCTTCAACCTGTTGGAAAATGATTAGTTTTTAAATTAATATTCATTCAGGGACTAGAATCTGACATGATTGCCAATTTAAATTTCACTTTGGGGTTTATTATATTGGCTATTTCAAATTATATCAAGCTGAAATTCGTTATGTCATATTTTTTGTACTAAAAGTAGAAAAAATCAATTCTGACTTTTTATTATCAAATGGGGAACACTGATAACATTAGCAATTTTTTAAAGCTCAGTTTTCATACCGACTCAGCACACACTGTGGTTGGTATAAGAAATCACTTGATGTTCTTTTAAAGAAGTTTTCTTTTAAAGAAGCTTTGAAATACATGAGAGGATTTTACATCAGTTTGGTATGGATTGGTAGGTAAAACAGCTTGGAAGTGATTTTACATTTTTTTATTTTGTATTTATTTAACATTGTGTTTGAAGGTTTTATTTATTTTTGCATATAAGAATTGGGGTACAGGCAAAAGGTGTCGGGTGGGGGTTGGGTGAGAGGAGTAAGAAGCTACACTAGGGACAGAATGGGGAGCAGAGAGGCAGATCTACTGAAATACACTGCTGAGGGGAGCATCAGTTTAGACAGGAGAGGTCTGCTGCACTGCTGTGCCATCAGCTCCCTGGCCAGAGTTATCTCTCAGGCCATCACAGTGGGCCTTTGCATTTGTAATGCTGGGATTTAACCCCTAGGTAACCAGGGAGACCCCATGTATTTGCATTTTGTTGCTTACCATTTAAAAGGAAACCTTCAGAGCTTCCTATGGAAATACTTTTTCCCTTCAGCAATTCCACACATTTTATAGGACAAGTAGTATCAAAGAAGCATTAGTATAGTTATTATTCAGGAATTATACTGAAATGCAGTGAAACAATTACTATAATTGAAGCTGATGAATCACAGCCACTTTGGAGCCAAGAAATGGCTTAGCAATGGGGTCATTCAGGTTTTTTCAGTGTTCAAAAGCTCCTGGATAACTCAGACAATTCAAGAGCCAAAGATGGTTTGCACTACAATAGCATGGAAAGAGCAGTAGTAATTTGACACACTAGAGGGAAAATCACATGAGTAAATAAAGTTTTAAGAATCGATATATGAAGAATAGGAGTTTCATACTCATAGTTTGTTCATGAAATGTTCTTTTGATTTATGTATTCAATCTGAGAAAGGAAAACTATTGATAGTCTGGAGAAAAGGAAAATGCAATTGAACCAACATTTGTTAGAATAGATACACCACGTCTCTCAATTAATCTCTGGAGTGTATGCCCATGTGCACACTTTATAAAGGCATTTCCATGTCCCCATTGATTTGAAGGAACATAAATTGCCCGTGCGGCCTTGTGGGAGATGCCTCGTCTGGTCAGTAAACTTACGTCCTGGGTTCTCAGGAGAAAACTGTCTCAATCCCTACTCCGTGACTCTGAGCTGTACCTTTCTTTTTATCAAGTTCATTTCCTGTAACTCTACTTTTTTTTTTTTTTTAATGTGTGTATTTATTTGTGCAAAGCCTGTTTGTAGCCAGCTGAGTGTCACCCAAGTTAGTTCAGTAGTTTAAGGTTTTTCAAAATTAAGTAGAGATCAATAGAATTTAATGAAGCTTTTCAGAATAATCAGTTAAAATGATGATAATAGCTGCTATTATTGAGTCTTGATTATGTGCACTGTATTAAACTTTGTACATTCTTAATTTTCAAATGTTAATAGTAGTTCTCTGACGTTGGCTTATATTATCTCCATTATAGAGATGAGAAAAATGAGCTCTTAGAAGGTTAAATTACTCTAAATTTATAATCTCAAGTTTCTCTGACCTTTAACTAAACAATAATAAATCATTATAAACTTAGTCACTGTAAAGACCCTTGCCAAAAATGTAAGAGCATAAAATACATGTTTGTAATGTAAATACAAATTAATTTTATACAAG